TACTCCTACTACTACTCCTACTCCTACTACTACTACTACTACTACTACTACTACTATTACTACTTTCCGCCCACGCCCACGCCCGCTCCCTCTCCTGCTCCTGCTGCCGCTACTGCTCCCACTCCGACTCCTATCCTACTACCACTCCTCTTCCTACTCCTAGTCCTCCCCCTCCTCCTTCTCGTACATCTAGTCCTACTCCTACTTTTACTCCCACTCCTACTCTACTGCTGTTATAATGTCGTAGTAGCAACATTGACTAGTGGTCATAATTTCGGAAACGAGAGAGGAGAGCGATAATCGCGGCTGGTCTTGGGCTACCAAGGCTCAGTGTTCTCGGATTTGTCACGGCGCAGATCTCAGTGACTGCAGTTCATTGTGAGGCCGCAGTCTGTCTTCCATGGACTCTTAGATTCCGCAGCAGCAAAGGGTCAGAGTTCGAGTTGTGATCCTTCCCTAAGGGGAGGCAGTCTTCGGCCGCAGCCGCTGCCACGCGCCCGGAGCTTATGAAAGTCCAGAGTTTCGGGTGGGCTCTTCGCTTCTAGGCACCTTGAGGAGTCATCCCCTTCACCTTCGACCCTGGGCCTCCCTACGGAAAGGCGAAAACCGATGGTTCCCTGAGGCCGTGAGGAGGCCAATTCGCTGCCTCTGTGGCCCAAGCCGCGGCCTGGAGCCCTGCGAAACGAAGGAGTAGGTTTTGCTCTCTGAAATATTTGGGCCTAAACAATGTACCAATACTGTTTTGGGGGCTCCTTATTATAATTACACCATAAAGGACCCCCAAACCCTAGTCTAACTATTAAGGCCCCTATATTAGCGTTCAGGTGGGGCTGTTTGGTTCATGGCAGACGCTTTCATTGCGAGATCAGGGTTTAGGGTTTTCATGCCGAAGTCTGCGAGGAAGTAGTAGTACAGCCACCAGCAGAGTTGTCCTGGTGAGTGCCTGGTTCTGGCGCAGGAGGACAGGAGGAGTAGGTAGGGTTCAGGGTTTAGGGTTTAGGGCTTAGGGTTTAGTAGGCCTTTGGGACATTTTATATTTTCCCCTATTGGGCTTAAGAGGATCTTAGTGTCGAGTATTTTTCCGAGGCTTTGAGGGGCCAGCCTAGAGGAGCAAGAGCAGCAGGAGGAGGAGGAGGAGGCAACCAAAGCAGAAGCAGCAGCAGGAGGAGGAGGTGCTTTGGCTGTAAATCTACTGGTAAGTAAGAGTATGATTAGCAACAGTCCAGTCCCCGTAGTGGTGGTGGTAGTAGTGGTAGTAGAAGAGGCCGCCGCGGTGGTGGTAGGGTAGTTGTAGGAGTAAGGGTAGTGGTACTGGTAGTGGTAGTGGTAGCAGCAGTGGTAGGGGTAGGGGTAGTGGTAGTGGTATGGGTAGGGGTAGTGGTAGCGGTAGCGGTAGTCGCAGTCGTAGTCGCAGTCGTAGTCGCAGTAGTAATACAAGCAGTCGAAGCAGTAGTAGCAGTAGTAGTCGTTGTCGTCGTTGGCGTCGTGGTCGTAGTCGTAGTCGTGGTGGTGGTGGTGGTAGTAGTCATAGCAGCGGGAGGGGCAAGAGGAGAAGTAAGAGTCTAAGAGGAGGAGGAGGAAAAGTAGTCGCAGAAGAAGCAGCAGCAGTTGTACTAGTAGTAGCTTTTAGTAGCAGTAAGCAGGAGTAGCAGCGCTAACCGGCAGCATCGTGGTGGTTGTGGTCGTGGTGCCGACCCGGCCGGGGTTTGCAAGGATACCCTCACCTTTTTCGGGTCAATATCTTGCGCAGGGGGACGGAAAAAATATTGTCATCGCCACCATGTCTAAGCGATTTCTTAGTTTTCGTAATATGATGCAGCAGTATGAATGCTCACGACCGGTGCAATAAGGCTGTTGCATAGTCTGACTAGCAGCTACCTCGCCCTCAACGAAAAGAATCGCCAAACCATCACACCACCTCAAACTCAAGCTGTATACCATCAGAGATACGATAAGAGTTACTATAGAGGTTACTCTTCAGGTTACTATAAAGGATTACTACTGTTGATGATATAAATCCGGCATTAGCTTAAGGACCCTAAACTATGGGAATCATGGTACAGTCCTTATCATGGGAAATGCAGGATTTATATCATCCTAAACCCTAAACCCTAAACCCTAGACCCTAAACCCTAAACCCTAAACCCTAGACCCTAAACCCTAAACCCTAAACCCCAAGGCCTTAAACCCTAAATCCCAGAGCGCAAATCGGAGAGAAAAGTTCCTCGAGGCTCTGGCCGTGGGAGATGCGGGTCCAGCCGGCAACCCAGAGGTTCTAAGGTTTCAAGTACTTGGAGGCCCAGGGGACTTAGTAAGTAGGTTATAAGTAGAGTTATAAGTACCCTAAATGGAGTTAACCCTACTTATAACCGACTTACTAAGTCCCCTGGGCCTCCAAGTAATATGGACCCTTAGGCCTTTCTGGGGACCCTTAAGGGTACGTATAGGGTATATAGTAGGTATATAAGGATCCCAGGGTTAAGGGCCCATACTAGGGTCC